CACTGTGCCCTCCCACTGTGCCCCGGTGCTTTCCCGCGTTCCCCAGTGGGCCACGCTATTTATGCCTCCGGTGCCTCCCGTCGCAGCTCGGTAACTCCCAGAACACCCCAGTGTGCCCTGCTGCCTCCCAGTATGTCCCACTGCCTTTGGTCCCCCCAGTGTGTCCAGGTGCATCCTACCGCCTGCTCTCCCAGTCCATCCCAGTACCCTCTAATATGTCCTAATCCCCTTTCAGTGCCTCCCAGTCCATCCCGGTGCCTCCTGATATGTCCTACTGCCCCTCCTAGTGCCTCCCAGTCCATCCCACTGCCTCCCAGCATGTTCTGCTGTCCCCCCAGTGGCACCTAGTACATTTTACTGCCTTCCAGTACTATGTCCTAGTCCAGTCCCCCAGAGCTTCTCAGTCCACCCAGCCCACCTAAATGCTTCCCTGTAAGTCCAACTGCCTCCCAGTGTGCCCTACTGCCCGCTTCCACTGCCACCCAGCATGTCCAGGCACCCCCAGTGCCTGGTCCCTGCTCCACAGCTGGCACCCCACGGTCCAGGGGTGCCACGGCTGCCCCCAGCTGCATGCAGGGCAGCTCCTGCACCATCCACAGCCCCGTTAAAGCCTCGAGCGAGGCCCCGACTACCACTTCTCCAGCGCACATCCAGCATGGTGAGGTCCGAAGGGCCGTGGCTCTTCCCCATCCTGACAAACCTTTGTTCTTTCTCGCAGGCGGACGACTTCATCCGAGCGAACGCCTGCAATAAATTGACTGTCATCGCCGAGCAGATCCGGTACTTGCAGGAGCAGGCTAGGAAGGTGAGGACATGTCTGTGAGCTGGGCAGAAGGCTTGTTGCCTTGTGCTTGCGAGGGGATGGAGATTAGCATCTGTCTTAACTGCCAGACATTCGCGAAGAGCTGTGGCCTGGATATGAATCTTGGCCAGAAGCCAAGTAGAGAAGATTCAGTGGGAAAATAATGAGGGTTTATTGTCTGGTATCAGCTGGGGATGGGGGAGGGTTGTTTTTGGTGCTTTCCCCGAGTCCTCTGCACATCAGGGAGGACTTCGGTTAAGGCAGAGCAGCGAGGGTGTCTAGTCAGAAGCAGCTCAGGTGTCAGGAAGGACAGAGAGATGACTCTGGTTTTGGGACAGATGACTCCTGTCACTGTAGCGTGTGTGCTGTGCCCCTGGAGGACTCGGCACAGTGGGGTGATGACGTGGCCCTGGCTGGATCTGAGCCCCTGGGAGAAGATGAGCTGTTACCTGATGACAGGCTTGGCTTTCCAGCTTGTCCCAGCTCATTTGCTGCAGCAGTGGCTCCGGCAGCAAGCCTGGCGGGGCTTGGCTGTCCTCTTCAATTCAGACTTCACCCTTGGGGGTGAAATCTTGGAGCCTGATTGGGAAGGATCTGCCAGTCACTGCGGCTGGCCCACTGCCATCAAGGCCACTACGTCATATAATCGTTAACTGGTGGAGCCGGAGCTGTGGAGCAGTCAGCTGGTGGAGCTGGGGAGATGAATTCCCTTTTGTTTGCTGTCCCTTCCCTTGGGGACCGCAGCAGGGAAGCCCCCAGGGTCCAGCAGCTGTGTACAGAGATGAGGAATGAGTCCAGCACTTGGTGGAGTCAGGCACAGAGGGGAACCTGGGGCTGTGGTGAAGAGGTCCTTGTTGCTTGGAGGTATCTCCACCTCTGTGGAGGGGTGCGGGAGCTCTGAGGTCCAGCTGACAGGGGAAACTTGGAGAAAACTATCTCTTTGGAAGCGCCTCCTTCCTGGGGCGAGTAAAGATGTGCCGCGTGAAGCCAGACATGCGCCAGGGAGGATGAGGCCTCGCGAGCGGTGTGTCAAGTGATGTATCTCGGGCTCTGGCTGAGAGGCAATAGCGTGCTTTCGTTTTATTTCAAGTGTGGAAATCTTAAATTTCTTTTTTTTAGGTCTTGGATGAAGCTAACAGAGATGCTGATCTGCACCACGTGGCCTGTAACCTCGTGAAGAAGCCAGGAAACATCTACTACATGTACAGGCGGGAGAGTGGCCAGCGATACTTCTCCATCCTGTCTCCCAAGGTGGGTGGTAACAGCCCCTGAGGAAGCAGGGCGGGGAAAAAACCACGTTTCTGGTGCTTGGGCACTTCTGGACCTCAGACAAAAGCAACAACTTGATGGAGGCATTTGTTGGCTCCTGCTCAGCTGGCGTTTGTCCTTGGTCTGAGTTACTGGTGGGCGTGGTCTTGGAGGTGTCCTCCTTCCAGGCCACGTGTTTTCTTACACGCGGGGTGAAGGCTTCAGAGCAAAGCACCGAGCACGTAGAGGAGCTCTGTGCAGGTCAGGGAGATCTTGTATCCCCAAGTCTCCCCACATCAGCAGCACTGTAGCTTGACGTGGTCTTAGACTCAGCCTAGTTGAGCCTTTCTTTAGGTTAGAAAATGGGATGGTCACGTAGCTGGGACTGCTTCAAAGGTGGTGGGGCTATCCGGCATGGGCAGAGGTTGGGCTGGGGGACAGCACAGCCCAGCCCTAAGGGTAACTGAGCAGCGATGTGAATCTCTCCTTTCTCTTCCAGGAATGGGGGACCAGTCCCCACGAATTTCTTGGTGCCTATAAGCTCCAGCACGACATGTCCTGGACTCCATTTGAGGACATTGAGAGACGAGATGCTGAAATAAACATCCTGGATAAGCTGCTGAGCCGGCAGGCAGCGCTGCCCCCCTGTACAGAGCCCAACTTCCAGGGCCTCACCAAGTGACACAAGTGACGGTACGGGACGCCCTGCGCAGAGTCCCTGCGTGAGGACATGCAGTGCTTGCATGCTGTCAAAGGCAGAGCAAGGAAAGAGACCAAGAAACAAAAATGCTGATGGCGCCAGTACTTGCTCTGTGCTTTAACGAGACTTAATTCTGCATTCAGTCTTACTGGATTTTCTAGTAATTGAGTAATTTATTTCTTTGACTTATGCCAAGCTGTAGCGAGAGGCAGATAATATCAGGTGGAGGCAATTCCAAGAGGGCTTGGGGCAAAAAGCAAAAATGCTTGGGGCAGATGTGATAATGCTATAAAATATGTCCTACCTGTCTGGCTCTGGTGTACCTCACTGTGACGACCTGCAGCAGGTACTGATTTCAGGGCTGCATTTTGCCCCTCGTTAAAATGTTGCTATTTAGGAAGCTCTGTGGCCTGGGGAGAGCGGTTGAAACCCTGCACAGAAAGGGCTGTTGTGACCTGAGTCTGCTGGTCCAAACCCCTGAGTCTTGCCACACGGGGTGACCTGGAACTTTCTCCTCTGGAAAGGGTGTCCTCAAAAGTGCCGTGCAGGCTTCAGGTGCTCCTCAGAAGGTGGGTGTTTCACAGTCCTCACGTGTTCCCCTTGGCTTTGAGGAGCTCGCCTGCTCTGCAAGGAGCCGAGGTGGGAATGTACTGATGGAGAAGGGGATGTCCAGGTTGGATCCCGGCATGTAACATCGGATCTGGTTGGATCCTCCCATGACTTGTTCACCACCCTGAGACGACAAGGTAGTGTGACCTTAGGCACTGCTCAAGGCGTTGCGTGTGCACACTGGCCTTAGCCTCCTCCTCCTCTGGCGACGTGTGAAGGCTGCGGACCGTTTGGGGAAGGGGAATTGTGACCCCGGGGTCTGGGCCCACCAATGGTGGAGGTGGTGCTTCTTGGTGGAGCCCAGCCGCAAGTGTGGTTGGGCTCCACCAAGAAGCACCACCTCCACCCACATTTGCAGTTGAGCTCTCCTCACTTCCGAGGTGGTGATGGAAGACTGGTGTCTTCTGTTCCCCATGGCACGGCCTTGGGTGCAGCAGTCGCTCACCTTCCTGGGGCCTTGTTCCAGGTGGTCACTCAGCTCCAAGTGACCTTCCCTGCCATTACCTCATCTCTCCTTAACCACTGCCGAGGAAGACACCGCTGCCTTCAGCTCTGCTGGGTGATGCCTGACTCAGTTCGGGGCTGAGTCTGTGCGTCAGGCTTGGATCAGTTCATGCATATGCTCTCAAAATAATCTTTAACTCCTTTAAACTCCCTTGTTCCCTTTCTAGCATTGATTTGTTTGTCTCACACCGAGTCCCCAGAGTGTCCTGCTCCTCCTGGCCCTCGCCTGCAGCTGGGAGGGGTTTGGGTGCCCCACTGGAGTCCTGTGGAGGAGGAGGATGCAGCACCGTGTTTTCCCAGGTCACCCTCGATTCGTGCATCTCCATCTCGATGTCTGAACCTACTGCTTCGGGTTAGATGCTACAGAGACTCTGCCGAGGGGAGGGAGGACCTCTTTGCATTCCCAAGAGACCCTTAGGGACCAGCACCATCACTGGGTCTTGCCATCGCTACAGTTTATTCCCCCTTCGGCAGGGCACAGCCTCTCCTCCGGCCTCCAGTCTCCCTCTCTTCTGGCCCCCATGCCCCTGGCACACCCTGGGAGTTGCCCTGAGAGATGCTCGGGGCTGCTGGCAGCACCGATTCCCCATGGGAAGAGCCGTTCCCTGCTGGGATGGGAGCTTTGAGGCAGCTCTCTGGCAGCTCAGGAGGTTTTTTTGTCCTAGATTTTCTTCTCCCAGCTCTCCCAGATGCAGTAGCTCATCCCCATCCCGGCGTGGTTGAGCCTGCGGTTGGCAGAGCCCGGCTCCTCGGAGTCGATGCATGACATTTCAAGCACCTTTTCCCAGCTCGCCCTCCCTCACTTGGAGCACAAGGGCAGATTAAAAGCAATGTATTATTAGACCAGGGTATAATTAATTCCTTATCGAGTCACAAGTGTCTAATTTGATGGGTTTTTTTCCCTGCTTGTTTCATCGCCCCGGGTCTTATTTTACTGCATGTTATTAAATCTTAACTCGGAAGGGAGGAAGTTAATTACTGCATGGGCTTTGCCATGGTGCTAATTACAGCAACATCAGAGATCTTCACATGTGTTGATTTATGCTCCTCTGGGAAAAGGGGATTCCTGCCCCAGTTTTATCTCTGTTTCCCATCATTAAAATCTGTGCGATGACATGCGTGAGGGGATCAGGGTGATGTCTGCAGACCTCCGTAGCTTGTGATTCTGCGCCTTGGCCTTTGGTGGGATTTCACATGTGCTTTCCTAGATGTCCAGCAAACACCTCTGACCCTCCATACCCTGTGACTCCCTGGTGTCCTGCAGTTCCTCTGGGTGCTGGCAAGTTGTTTTCTTGGATTTGCCCCAAAAAAGCAAAACTGCTATGGATGTAGCTTTGTAGGAAAATATACAGAAGGTATCGAGAGGTAAGACGTGGAGATGGTGGGCTCATGCTCAATGCTCTCTGCACTGCGGGAAGCAGGGATGTGGCTGCCGAATGGTCCTGCTGTGGAGCAGGGAGGCGATGCCGGAAAGGGGGAACCATTCCCCCAAAACACTGTCTGGTTCCCCTGAAACAGCTCGCCCAGTGTTGCCATCTCGGCTGTTTTTTGCTCTAATTAAACCCAAAGAGCTGAGGCAACATCAGAAATACTGGAAGGTGCTGCTGCAGAGCTGAGCAACCCATCCCATGGAAAATGGGCGAGGGTGGAGCGCTGGTGGCAGAAAGATGAGCTGGAGCCCCCTCCAACGCGAGGATGAGTTTCGGAGAACTGAGGAGGTGGTGCTCGGTGGAGGATTCCCCGAGTCCCTTGGGGCTCACGATCTCATCTGCTCCGCTCAGCCTCTACCGAGCCGTTGCCGTTACAGGTTTTTGGCTCGACAGGGCAGGGATTTAATCCAAAAATCAGCTGGGAAGAGTCAGCGGGACGCAGTGCAGGAAGGCAGAGGTTGTCAGCAGATGATGTATGGGCCACATCTCGCTCCTATGTGTTTTTCAAGCATTTCATTTAGATGAGCGTGTGCCCTCTGCTTTGCTTAGAGGAACAGCCATGTAAGTAAGGAGCGAGCGAGGCAGAACCGGAGGCTGCAGGCTCGCAGCTGCTGTTCCCTGCTGTGGTACATAATGCATTTCCCGGATAAAAAGGTTAAAAATCAGCTGTTTCCTGCAAGACTTCATTTCCATTCATGGTTTCACTTTGAAAATTCATTTTGAAAATATTCCTCTCCCTTTTGTGGGCACTCAGGGCAGCAGTGAACCCTGTCTGAAGGCAACGGCTCGCTCTGAAATCCCCAGGGATGGACAGTATTTGCAGGAGAAGACAGAGATGTGCTTCTGACACCATTAACGGTGGGCAGAGTGGTTTTTGCTCCATCTTTGGATGTGCAGATAAACCGGGGCTCGTTTAAAAGGGATGGCAGAAAGATGCTCTTAACGTCTGATCCTCTCCTGGATGCTCCCCAAGGGCCAACATTCGCTGACTCTTAGGGCTGCCGTGAGCCGCCTTGTCTTCTTCTGGTCCTGAGAGATCGATTTATTAACGACTCGATGGCACGAACGATAACCGAGTGAGGGAAAACATCTCTCCCATCTGCTAAAATTGCAGGAAGCACCGAATGAGGGCCAGGCACTGCAGGCCTTAAAGATATAGATAAGACACAGATATTAAAAAAAGATATTTAAAAAGATATAGAGCATTTTTTTCAGCCTTTTCAGATGGTTTTCAACTGCCCGCAACAGGGATTTTTAACCACAGGCTTTCTGCTGCTTCCACGTCACCTTTTTGAGCTGTGCTACAAGACCAGCAGGTCTTCCTTGCTTTTAAAAATTGAATTAACTCTAAAATTTTCTGTTTCAGGCCAGATTTTGGCTCCTGCTTTTCAAACTGGCAGCACCCATAGCTTTTATTCTTGCGCTCTTGTTCCTGAAGGGTAGTTTTTATTTTATTTGGGGGGTTTAGGGGGATTTGGTTATAACCCCCCCAAATGCCTGCTGCACGGTGGGGCCGTCTCCCGGCCAGGAGGGGTCTCCCAACAAGGAGAGTTGCCGCTCCTTGGCCCTTTTTGTTTCGGCTTCAGCTCCAGGCAGGAGAAAAAAACAGGAAGAAAAAAACTGAGGGAATTTGGAAATGGTGATGCAGGGGTGCACGTGCACCCTGTAGCAGAGTCTTCGTGCCCTCCGTGTGCTCCTGCAGCGCCTAGGGCGCA